TCCAGCCTCCACCTGTAGCTGCCTCCAAGATCTTCTCTGATCCCACTGTCCAGTGGGGGCCCCTGGCCCACTCCCTCCATCCTGAGCCAGACAGGCCTTTGAGCCCAGGGTGAGTTTTCTCTGGCACCATAGTCTGTGGACCACACACAGGCTCTGCCTGCCCTGCTTCCAGCTGACTCCAAAGCCAATCGCTGAGATTCGTTAGCTCTCCCTTTGCCCCACAGACTAAAGGCACAGCAGGAAGATAAGAGGTTAGACAGCAGGGAGGACTTCCAGGTTGTTGAGAATGGAGATGTGAAGATTGGGTGACAGAGGTCGTGGTGTTCTTTGAAAAAGGAAAATGCAGGAATGCAGGCTGCCTGACTAAAACCCCAAGTTCAGGCGTTCCAGACTGATTAACTTTTTTTTTTTTTTTTTTTGCCTTTGCTGCTCTCTCCCTTCAGGGCCTGGGTGCTGGGAGTGGGAACTGGAAGGCTGCCTCTGGAACCTGTTCAGACCTCCAGCCAGGACCACACCCGACAGCTCGCACTGTTCCCATTCATAATAATAATTAGTATTTAGTGAACACTTACTACAGGCTCTTTATGTCTATATTAACTCAATCCCCAAATGGCCCTATGGGAGGGGAGGGGTCCTATTATCATGCCTACTTGACAGATGAGAAAACTGAGGCCCAAGGCCCTCTGCAGGACTATTCATCTGCCCAACGTCTGCCCATCCTCAAGGTCTCCCTTCCTGAAAGGTCATGCCAAGGACCTCTGGCCTCTCTCTTTTCTGCTCTCCACAATGCAATCAGTGCTTAGGGACCACCCCTGTTTGGGCCTAGGCTCTCCAGGCCAACCTGCCACTGCCTAGCTCTTAACCTTGAACAAAAGCCTTCTCTAAACCTCAGCTTTCTTATCTGTCAAATGGGGACTATGAAGGTAGAGGACTGATATGGTGTGGATATTTGTCTCCTCCAAATCTCATGTGGAAATGTCATCTTCAGTGTTGGAGGTGGGGCCTGGTAGGAGGTGTTTGGGTTAAGGGGGTGGATGCCTTATGCCTTTTGAATGACTGGTGCCCTCTTCATGGTGATGAGTGAGTCCTTGCTCTGGGTTTGTACAATATCTGGTTGTTTAAAAAAAAAAAAAAAAGTGGCACCTGCGCCCCTCCTCACTCTCTTTCTTGCTTCCTCTTTCACCATATGACATGCCTGCTCCTGCTCTGCCTTCCACCATGATTGGAAGCTTCCTGAGGCCTCACCAGGTGCAGATGCTGGTGCCATGCTTCCTGTGCAGTTCTTGCAGAACTATGAGCCGATCAAACCTCTTTTCTGTATAAATTACATAGCCTTAGATATTTGTTTTATAGCAACGCAAGAATGGACTAACACCGAAAATTGGTACCAAGAGTGGGGCATTGCTATAAAAATACCTGAAGACGTGAAAATGGCTTTGGAACTGGATAATGGGTAGAGGCTGGAAGAGTTTGGAGGGCTAAGAGGAAGACAGGAAGTTGAGGGAAAGTTTGGAACTTCTTAGAGACTGGTCAAGTGGTTGCGACCAAAATGTCGATGGTGAGATGGATACTGAAGGCCAGGCTGATGAGGTCTCAGATGGAAATGAGGAAGTTATTGGGAACCGGAGCAAAGGTCACCACTGTTACGTCCTTGCAAAGAACTTGGCTGCACTATCTCCATGCTCTAGGGATTTGAGGAAGTTTGAACTTAAGAGTGATGACCTGGGGTATCTGATGGAATAAATTTCTAAGCAGTAAAGCATTCAATATGTGGCTTGACTGCTTCTAACAACCTATTATCAGAGATGGGAGCAAATAAATGGCTTAAAGTTAGAATTTATATTTAAAAAGGAAGCAGAGCTTAAAAGCTTGGAAACTTTGTAGCCTGATCATGTGGCAGAGAAAGAAAAAAGCATTTTCTTTTTTTTTTTTTTTTTGAGACAGAGTTTTACGCTTTTGTTGCCCAGACTGGAGTGCAATGTCAGGATCTCGGCTCATTGCAACCTCCACCTCCCGGGTTCAAGCGATTCTTCTGCCTCAGCCTCCTGGGTAGCTGGGATTACAGGCGTGTGCCACCACGCCTGGCTAATTTTTTATTTTTAGTAGAGACAAGTTTTCTTCATGTTGGTCAGCTGGTCTCGAACTGCCAACCTCAGGTGATCCACCTGCCTTAGCCTCCCAAAGTACTGGGATTACAGGCATTAGCCACTGCATCCAGCGCATTTTTTTTTTTTTTGAGATGGAGTTTCATGCTCTTATTGCCCAGGTTGGAGTGCAACGGTACGAACTCGGGTCACTGCAACCTCTGCCTCCTGGGTTCAATCAATTCTCCTGACTCAGCCTCCCTAGTAGCTGGAATTACAGGTGCCCACCACCAAACCCAGCTAATTTTTTTTGTTTTGTTTTTTTTTTGAGACCAGGTCTGGCTCTGTTCCCCAGGCTGGAGTGCAATGGCACGGTCTCAGCTCACTGCAACCTCCAATTCCTGGGTTCAAGGGATTCTCCTGCCTCAATTTCCTGAGTAGCTGGGATTATTACAGGCACCTGCCACCACGCCCGGCTGATTTTTATATTTTTAGTACAGATGGGGTTTCACCATGATGGCCAGGCTGGTCTCAAACTCCTGACCTCGTGATCCACCCATCTCATCCTCCCAAAGTGCCGTGATTACAGGAATGAGCTGCCACGCCTGGCCAATTTTTTGTATTTTTAGTAGAGACAGGGTTTCACTTTGTTGGCCAAGCTGGTCTCAAGCTCATGACCTCAGGCAATCCACCCGCCTCATTCTCCCAAAGTGCTGGGATTACAGGCACGAGCCACTGTGCCCGGCTCAAGAAAAAAATTTTTTCAGAAGAGGAATACAAGCAGGCTGTGGAGCAATCACTTGCTAGAGAAATTTCCAAGACTAAAAGGAAGCCAAGTGCTAATATCCAAGACAATGGAAAAAAAGGCCTCAAGGGCACGTCAGAAATCATTAGAGCAGCCCCTCCCATCAAAGACCCAGAGGCCTAGGAAGAAAGACTGGTTTCCTGGGCCAGGCCCAGGGTCCTGCTGCCCTGCCCAGCTTTGAGACTGAGCTGCCCACATCCCAGCTGCTCCATGTCCAGCTATGCTCAAAGGGCACCAGGTATGGCTTGGGCTGCCATTCTGGAGTGTGCAACCCGTAAGCCTTGGCAGCTTCCATGTGGCATTAAATCTGCATGTGCACAGACTGCAGGCATGAAGAAGGCTTGACAGCTTTCCCTAGATTTCAGAGAATGTATGAGAAAGGCTGGGTGCCCAAGGCAGAAGCCCGCCACAGGGGAGGAGAGATGTGGAATTGGAATCCCCACACAGAGTCCCCATCGGGGCAATGTCTAGTGGAGCTGTGGGAAGGGGGCTGCCATGCTCCAGACCTCAGAACGGTAGAGCCATGGGCAGCTTGCATCCTGAGCCAGAAAAAGCTTCAGGCACTCAACTTCAACCAAGAGCACCCACAGGGGCTGCACCCTGCAAAGCCACAAGGGCAGAGCTCCCCAGTGGGACAGGGAATCAAAGGAGATTATTTCAAAGCTTTAAGATTTAATGACTGCCCTGCTGGATTTAGGACTTGTGTGGGGTCTCTTGCCTCTTTCTTTGGACAAATTTCTCTCTTTGGAAGTGAGAATGTTTACCCAATGCCTGTACTACCACTGTATCTGGGAAGTAAGTAACTTGTCTTTCATTTCAAAGGCTCATAGGTGGAAGAAATTCATCTCTGGGTGAGACTTTGGACTTGGGACCTTTGATTGATTGATGCTGGAACAAGTTAAGACTTTTGGGACTATTGGGAAGGGATGATTGTGTTTTGCAGTGTGAGAAGGATATGAGATTTGGAGGGTCATGGGGCAATATGATATAGTTTGGATATCTGTCCCCTCCAACTCACATGTTGAAATATAATCCCAAGTGTTGGAAGTGGGGACTGGTGGGGGGTGCTTGGGTCACGAGGGTGAATGCCTTATGAATGGCTTGGTGCCCTCCTTGCAGTGATAAGAGAGTTCTTGCTCTGAGTTCATGTGAGATCTGATTGTTTAAAAGAGTGTGGCACCTGGCTGGGCGTGGTGGCTCACACCTGTTATCCCAGCACTTTGGGAGGCCAAGGTGGGTGGATCACATGAGGTCTGGAGTTTGAGACCAGCCTGGCAAACCTGGTGAAACCCTGTCTCTACAAAAAATAAAATAAATAAATAAATAAGTAATAAATAAATAAATAAAAATAAAAAAAGAGTTTGGCACCTACCACCACTTTCTCTCACTAGCTCTCTCTCTCTCTCTCTCTTTTTTTTTTTTTTAAAGACAGGGTTTCACCATGTTGGTCAGGCTGGTCTTGAACTCCCGACCTCATGTGATCCACCCGCCTTGGCCTCCAAAGTGCTTGGATTACAGGCATGGGCCACCACGTCTGGCTGCTCTCTCTCTTACCATGTGAGATACCTGCTTCCCTTTGCCTTCTCCCATGATTGGAAGCTTCCTGAGGCCTTCACAAGGAACAGATGCTGGTGTCATACTTCTTGTACAGCCTGCAGAACCACGAGCCAATGAAACTTTTCTTTATGAATTATCCAGTCTCAGGCATTTCTTTATAGCAATGCAAATGGAGTAATACAAGGACTCTGGTGAGTATTTAGCAAGATAAGAGACATTGAGCCCAATGACCAGTCCCTGGCACAGAGCCCGTACTTAAAAGAGGCAGGTCATCTTGGCTAAATTTATTATGTATGTCCTATTATTATTATTATTATTATTATTATTTTGAGAGGGAGTTTCGCTTTTGTTATCCAGGCTGGAGTGCAATGGTCCGACCTCAGCTCACTGCAGCTTCCGCCTCCCGGGTTCGAGCGACTCTCCTGCCTCATCCTCTAGAGTAGCTGGGATTACAGGTGCCCGCCACCACCCCCAGCTAATTTGTTGTATTTTTAATAGAGACGGGGTTTCACCACGTTGGCCAGGCTGTTCCTGAACTCCTGACCTCAGGAAATCTGCCCACCTCGGCCTCCCAAAGTGCTGGGATTACAGACGTGAGCCACCGTGCCCAACCCTGCTCTCTTATTATTAATAGTACTTCATTATCATAACTCTGTGGATTTCATCTCCCAGCCTGATTATAAGTTTGTTGAAGACTCATCTTGGTACCTCTGTCTTGGTTTGGGTTCCCCAGGATGCAGACCCTGAGACAAAGGTTAGAGGACGCACACTTGAATGGCGGTGGCCATGGCAAACACCAGCAGAGGAATGGAGAAGTGACACGGGAGGGAAGGATGCCAAGAATGGAGACGTCATGGAACCCGTCACCACTGTGAGCAGTTACAGCCCTCTGGAGAGCTCAGAGAGCCAGTCTAGAGTATGCCTCAGAGTTGACCCATGTCAGCTGCCAGGCAGCAAGGGGTTTGTTGTTGCGTTAATTATTTTGAGACAGGGTCTTGCTCTGTCATCCAAGCTGCAGTGCAGAGGCACAATCATGGCTCACTGTAGTCTCAACTTCCTGGGCTCAGGTGATCCTCCAGCCTCAGCCTCCCAAGTAGCTGGGACTATAGGTACATGCCACCATGCCCAGATAATTTTTTACTTTTCTTTTTTTCTTTCAGCTGGAGCCTGGCTCTGTTGCCCAAGCTGGAGGGCAATGGTACAATCTCAGCTCACTGCAACTTCCACCTCCCAGGAACAAGCGATTCTCCTGCCTCAACCTCCCAAGTAGCTGGGAGTACAGGCGTGTGCCACAATGCCCAGCTAA